AAAATTATAAACCTTTAATCGATATTAAGTAGAAAGAAGTAAACTAAAGTTTGCGGTTTCATTAATTTTATATTAATATTATCTATGTATGAAGTTAAAGATTTGCATAATTTTTATTCAATTGTTATTTATATCTATAAGGAAATCTAATAATAATGGTTTGTAGGACTAACAGAGATGCGTTATTTTTACCTATTATGTTAATTGCGATAATATTTAACAAGTTAAAATCTTAATTTTATCTTGAATCGGTAAGTTTTTCGTGACGCATTTGCCAAGATTTATAAATTCTATTATACATAGAATATACATTTTATGTACGAGTAAAATTTAATTTAAGCGTCGAAGCTTTTTTTTCAATTTTTATGTTGGTTCTTTTAGTAGTGATATATTTCCACCTAAAGAGTTTAATTAATTAAATTAACTACAATATTTTGTAGATAAAAAGGTAGCTGGATAAATAAGCATAATTGTAGGGTAATCTCTTCTCAGTATACTTTTATTTCTTTCTTCTTTTATTTGAATTATGATTATATTAGAACAGCATCCGTATAATTCCGTATTTTAGAATAGTATTAAATTTTTTGCTTTTGGGTCTTTTATTATCATTTTTCAGGAAATTGCAATAGTTTTGAAAATACTAGTAACTCTATTAACGTAGATGATTATGAAATAATTCGATTAATTTATATTAATTAAGCAATTAATCTTTAGAATGCGCATTACCTTTGTTTAGAGGAAGAATTTTATTTTATATATGAAAGATACAATAAACTAAATAAATGTTAATATATAAAAGCTACCCGAGTCTTTTCAAGAGTTTTTGTTAAATTTGATTTAATCTCCCTACTACTGTTTATATAAATTTCTACATTGATAAAAAGCTTCTAAAAGATAATGAGCTATATAGGGATTTAATAAAGATACAATTAAATGTACATATTCTATACTTCGATAAACCTAATATTCAGATTATATATACTCTGGTAATAAAACAAAGGTTTTCTAGCAGTGCAGGGTAATGGGAAATAGCTCAATTTAATGGATTAGAAAATATAAATGAGAAAATATGTATAAGAAAATGCCGGTTTTAAATTTGCCGAGATTTTTTGTTTTGTAATTTTTGTGCTTATATTTTTTTATAGCTTCGTTATTGCCAAATTATTATTTTTTCCTTACCTTATTAACACTTCGATTACATAAGGTTTTTCCGTTATCTTTTCCGATTGATATATATGTTCTTTGAGTGGCCTAAACGATTTACAGTGAATTTAATCAATAAAATCAGTTTATGACAACAGTGCCTTTTGGAATATTATAAAGTTCATTAGTAAAATCATTTGATTAGTATAATAAATAAAAGAAAATTATTGTGCCATTACAAAATTTTGTCATAATAGGATTTTTAATAAATATAGAGAGGATTCAAAAAATAATATTTCTGTTCATTCTTAATAAACTTAATATAAGTAGCTAATGAATACTAATCAAAAATTAAAAGTAGTATTATATAATATATATATTATAGACAATGTATCAGTTGAGATGTCTACTATAAAAACATATGTAAAATCAATTTTATTTATTCAATTCAATTCTTTAATTTAGTGAATAAGTTATGTTGATTTACTGCGTGGCTGGTGTGCCCCTTTTCATTACGATTCCAATTGGCTTCACTGTTAAATTACTACCTGTTCTTACTGATTTCCTTTTAATAATGCACGTGTATTTTTAAGTAGGCTGCCGAATATGCGGCCGGGTGTCGTCGTCACAGTATATACTAAAACACTGAGTGATAATAACAGTCAAGTGAGCGCGAGGTAGAATTACAATGAGCTTTTATTTTAAGCCTTTTGAATACGCGCACAAAACCGAAGGCCTGATCGTTCCGTGGTGGCGGCTTTGTTGAAAGTACCGACCGTTCCATGGCGGTCCTGTTGAAGGTAGACCGAAACTCGTGCCATGGCTTCTACTGGTAGAGGGTCAGATCGGGTCACGGCAAGATATTAGCAGCAAGCGCAGTTAAGTAAGAGGTAGTTTCAGCAAGGGTGGTTCAACATGAGAACGAGGCACACCGCGTGCTTGCCTTATATATCCACGCGGCGGCTCACTTAGCTGGCAACGAAGCATCGTCATTGCTGCCCTGGAATATTACATGAGGCGTAAAAAGAAAAATCTAGATGTTTCGAGAATTCGACGAAAGAAAAAAAAATGAAATAAGGCGTAATAACGATAGAGATTTTCGGGCGATGTTATTACCCGAAGACTATATAAACATTACGGGCCATTTGCAACTAAAACATAACGAGTATACGAAAATTCTCGTCCAAGTGTTTACAGAAATCTGAGATCTAAAAGGCCGGCGATGCCGACAATCGGAGATCTTAAAACTTGCTTCAATCTCGAACATACATACGGACATTAATTAAGTTTTTGAGATAACATTTTGAGCAACCTCTTAATTTAAAATAATCTGTTGTAAAAAAAATCATAATTTGTGCTCGTATTCCTTTATCTTTAATCGCTATTTTAAGTTACTTAATTTGACACTTACTGTAAAAGTTACGAGAACAAAAAGAAAGCATAAGGATTCCCTATTAATTGTAAAAGTTAGTAACGACAAGACAAAAACCCATAAAAGTTTGCTTCAAAAAGGAGTGTTAAAATTAATAAAAGTATATAAATATAAATATAAATATCGAAATATAAATCAATTTTCAATTATTTAATATTTTAATGTTTAATGATTATACGAGTTATAATTGATCTTTCTTTTTCTTCTTTTTTTTTTAATACACAGATACTATCAAAGTCGTTAAAGATGTTCCAATTCCGAAGTAATTATTTGGAAGGAGCCCACTTAAAATATTAGATAGCACTGACTTTGCACTATACCATTTCACGGGTAAGTATTTTAGATATTGTACTGGTAATATATTATCGTACTATGTAATATAATATCGCTATATCGTTATCGGTGTTACAGCAAATCGCTTTTCTATAATTATCTGGATCAGTCAGAATAAATTAGTTATAATAAATTATCAGTAATGATAGTTGGGGCATATTAAAACAAATACAGTTTATAATAAGTGATTGATTTATAAATATTTTTATTTACCATACAATATTTCAATTAAAGTTAAACTTCATTAAGAATTTAATCTAAGTTTTTCGAATTCTTATCGAATATTTCTAATTAAATAGACTACGCATAAATAAGATTAAAAAATTGCAAAAAATTCTATAACAATTTTACATACGTTCAAAGAAACATTGATAACTACTAGTGAAATTAACAATATTTATATGATAATTTTATTTAATAATATTGACTTTTCTGGATAAATCAGATTTGCTAAATAATTTACTGAAAAGTCTTTTAAATAAAACTTCCTAAAAACACATTTTAAGTGAATGTGTTAAATTCTCATTGATTTGTGATTTTTAACCTCTTTAAAATTTTATATGACTTTTATATATTAATGCAAATATTTAAATATATATAGATTCAACAACATTTATATTAAATAACGTAAATACTTAATACTCAAAATGAAAATAGTTTAATCGGATGACAAGATATATAGTTGAATTTTCTGGAATTATTGTTTTAAAAAAAAAAAGAACAGTTGATAAATTTTTGGAAAACAAAAATTGTGATTCATAATTGTATATTTAAATTATAGTTTAAATAATCAAAACGGAGATTTCTGCACTGCACTTCTTACTTCAGATAAATTAAAATAATAGACTCAAGTGCAATTCAGCGGTTGATATTTTTCTCTTCAAAGTGAAAGACAGACAAAATACAAAAAATTCAGGCAAATGATTTGTAATTTGTACTTGTGGTAATTTATTATTTCATTAGACCTTCATTTTAATTTAAGAGTTATAAAATTAGAGACATTAGACTGATATTTTCAGAAATGAAAATGAAAAACGGAAATAAATGCATATGTTATGTATTATATCAATTAAACAATGATATCATGTAAATAGTGAAAAAATATTCAATTTTATATGAACTTATAGGAAATTAAGCAGAAAATTTGAAAGTTTTAATTACCTCACATTATTTCTTTTTGTATGAATAATTGAGGAAGATCATGCCTTTTCTTTACACTATTCAGTACCAAATTATACATCAATATGCATAATAGTACGAATTATAGACCGTTGTTTTTTTAAGCGCAATAATAAATGAATATAATTTATTTTAATTAAACTATTCTTTTATACATTGAAGTATTTGTTATCCAACTAATAATAGATACAAAATTGTAATTAATTACATTCTGAAACAAATATTGAAGGAATTTTTATTTAATATTTGAACATTGTAAGAACTATAACGTGGAGTACGTGAAACTTATATTATATTGTATATATTATATTATTATATATTATTATAAAAATTATATTATTTATTTGCAAAAGTTTGAATGTAGAGTAAAAATTAGATAATTTTAGAGAATTGTTATGTTTGCAAAAACGTAGCTCTTTTTGCAAGTTACTGAGGATTGTATTTACAAAATATATATTACTACAATATCTTCATATACAAATCATATGTTAAGAGATATGGACGATACAGGATTAGAATTTTATGATTTGAAGCCAGATAAAAACGAAAGAAGTGGACAAGAATAACAAATGAAATTTACGTAAAAATTTTGTATCTAAGTTTTACTATTTTTCGATGTTTTCGAATTTAAATATTTTTATTTTTCATCGAACTTTAGATGCAGATAAGTAAATACCTACGTTAAGTATAAAACAAACAAAGATGAAAATAAAATTCATGAAAAATTAAAGAAAAATTTTTGCAAAATAAAAATAATCTTGAAAATGATTATGCCGATCAATATTTTAACTAGCTCATAATTATGGAATTGACATAATGATACTAAATAATTATGTAGTTATTATATTCGAAAGTCATTTGTTTATAAATTTTAAAATAGTAAGTAAAGACCGAATTTTTCTGATAGGTCTCACAATGTCGATGGGCGGTAGTCTAATGGGATATGAGAATAATAATGACGTGAACCATGCCAAGTGCCGGAAGTCGCTGAAGGCACTACCAGTGGTATCGAGTATAAACACGGCTGGTGTAACATCAACGGGGTTCGAAAATGGTGGTATCCACGCTGCAGGGAGATCTCGTAAGTCAGGATTGAGGACTTCTGTAGTGACATCTCGAAAGAGCGAATCTTGCAGCCGCGGCCATGTAAATAACCTGTGGTCAGTCTGGTATGGAATTATTGCCGTTGTTTTTCAAGCTTACATTGCTATCAGGTGCACCAGAAGATTTATTGGTAATTTACTCATTTTAATCTATTTTAAATTCTATATTATTTGTATTAAATATCTATTGATAAAATAAATTCCATCTTTTTTCCGTTATAAAGATACTTTCAACTAGTTCCGCTAATTTCTAAAAGAAGTATGCTGTTTATAATTGGATAATTAAGATTTAGATTTCATTTATGATATATAAATATTAAAACCATTAGCTTAATTAATTTTTATATATTTAGTCAATATAAAATTGTGTTAATAAATGGGACATTCTAAAAAATTTAAATGCGTTTATCCAGTTAATGCAGACACGGTTTATTTATATGTGTATGCATGCGAATTTTTGATATGTATATTGTACTTATTATATGACTAAAGCTAGCAATATTATTTATTATTAATTTTTTTTAATTAATATAACGTCTATATATAATGATGCTATTTCAAATCTTTATAAAAATGTTTTAAATAATATTTTAACTTACGATTAAATTTCCTGGCATGTATAATGTATCACTATATTACGAGTTTGTGATAAATTTATAAAGATTTAAGATTTATATAAAAATTGTAATTTATGAAAAAATTTATCAAATAAAATGTATGTTACATAAGCTATTTTTACAGATACGTATATATATATATCGCCTGCCTTGAAAGTAACATTCATTTCGTATATTATTAGATGTAATATTGATATAACGTAAATATTTCATATAATTGAAGCATGCATATCTGATTTGGAAGTTTCGATTTTTGTTAGATTAGAGTGGATTCATAAACATAAATTACATTTAACAGCGGGCTAATTTCAATTTTCTCATTTTTCCATAGCTTATCTATCGTTGCCCTGGCCTGCGGATGCTCCACCACCAAAAATCGAGTTACATGTGTGTTTAGCTTTAGCAGGTGCAGGAGTGCTCCTGCTACCAATTTTTCTTGCAGCAGCCTTTCTTAAGCTTGGTAATCTTGCCAATGACGGCATCAAGTTGGGGCGACACTTGAGCACATGCAGTCGCGATCCTTCCTCATCGCTTCTTGGCAGTAACACTGAGTCTGGTGAATGCTAAATTTTTTCTTTTTTTAGGGATTCAGTTATAGATTATTTATTATATTAGAATATTCATTAAACAGATAATAATAATTTTGATTTATACAGTTTTACGATGCGTGCATATTTGTTTATACGATTTAACAATTTTGAACAAATTTTACCTTAGTTTCCAAAGTATATTATATAGTATTTTAGAAATTATATATTTTAGAAATAATATTGTATTTTAGAATAATCTTCATGAAGGTAATGATTTTCATGTAGATAGTGAGTTATAATATTTAAATTTAAATAAAATTAAATATGATCACTTATATTAGATTATAACAAAAGTTAGACGTTTAAAATTTCAAGACTATTTTAATTTACTTAACTTGATAATTTTAAACTTGCTTATAAATAGAATCCATAAATTAAGCACAGAATATTATTTTAATTATGTAAATATTATAGTATTCTTCATTTAGAATTAATAAATGAATATGTTAGTATAACGTTATTTTTTACGGTCAAAATTATTAAAGTATTGAATAAAATTAAATTATTTACCTTTTATTTAAAATAAAAAATATATATTGTATGTGTACAAAAAGTTATGTTGAACAGATAATAGTGTTAAGTTATGCTAATTCGTTGTCATTAATTATAAAACACCAATGATGTGTGAGATAAATAAACAAAAGCGTTCAATATAAAAGGAAAAGAATAGTTTAGAGACAAGAGAAAATGGTGTCTATAAGTAGAAGAAAAATTATAGGCTATACAACTGAGTTTGCGTTCTGATTTTACGTGCATTCGCAGGAGTGGCAAATAATTTATGGAGACATGGAGGCCCAACTGCAGCCTTCGTCCATCTATGCACAGCCATGTGCTTTCTCTTACCATCACTTCTTATGGAAGCTCGTTTGATACATGCTGGATTCCTACCAAAAGGTAAGTTCTTTACTTTTTCTCCCTACGCAAAGTTAACGTATCACTTTTAAGTATTTCATAGCAGTACAAAGTGCCCTTAAAATTTTGTGATTTTTACATTTGATATTACTTTTCATGATTTGTCCTATCAAATTGTACTTTATGCTGATTTATTATTTCAAAGATAAATGAAACAGTATTGATTTCCTTATTGATAAAAAAGACTCATAAGGTTTTTATTATAAACTCTATAATGCAAATAAATACTTTAAAATATATTTGCATATATTAGATATTTCCTAGAGGCTAGTTGATAGATAGTTGACTTTTTTCCTTTTTCCACTAATTCATGTTTTATGAAGTCAATATCAGATAACATCAGTGCATCAAAGATAATGCAGGAATGAATGATTTCGTATATTAATATATTATGAATTATTATGCTAGTAATAAGACTTTGTGCTTGTTTCTTTGACTCTATATTGTTTTATCATAGTAACTAATAGATAATTGATTAAGAAAACACATGCTAGCTTGGTATCAATTCGTTTCACGCGGACGGTCCAGCAACTTTAAAATATTGATTCAATATTATAATAATTATTTAAGTTTAATAAAATATGATAAATTAATTAGTTTATTCAAATAATAATTTTTGTTATTCTTTATTAATTATCCTATGCTTCTACTGAAAGAATTCAAGGCCTTTGTGTGAAACACCAAGCCTTTATTTACAGCTATTATAATATTAGTAAACGTGGTCGCGATTTCTTAGTATAAATGCTCGAACAATAATAAAATTAAAAATCGTTATTATATAAATTATTTAAGGTATTATGCTAATACTTTATCCTAAATCCCTACAAATATGAGTAAACATGTTTAAATCAGTCAACTTAACTTAAAATTATTCACTTCATCTTATAAAATTATTTCCAATTCTTATAAATGATATGCATCAAATTTCAATTCGTATATTTATATTTATCTTATGTATTTTTGAATCTTCTATTTTAAATTATATTTAAAAAATTATATTTTATAATTGCATATAATTTTTTTGACAGTTTTCAATAAAATTATATTTTACGGAATAAAACTATTATTTTATGATTTATTACAAAAATAGATATTTTTTGTTCGAGAAACTATGTATGAAAGATAGATAAAAAATTTTTTATTGTAATTTTACATTTAAAATATATAAATAAATTACAGGAGTAAGTATTTCTGCTGTCAATTCAATTTCTATTGACAAACAAGATTTTTCCTGATCAATGAAACGCATTCATCTGACCGACTTCATCTGTCGCATTTAGTACTTTCATTCTAAACAAATACAATTAAATAATACAATAGCTTATTTTAGTGTAAAACAATTTATTACGAATAAAATTTGATATTCTACATTACATTCTATGTTACATTCTATAAATAAACATGTTTCGTATGTAATTGGAAACTTTAATATATTAATAATTGATAATTATATATTAACAATTAATAATTGGATAGAGGAAAAAGTAATTATTTACTAGTGGAAAATCTGGTCTTTTGTTTTACGCTATCGAGCAAACCTTATTTACTTGGATAATATAATTAAAAATTTAGTCACATCTTTGATCGTGTAAAATCATTGGTAACCACAAATCTTAATTTTATAGTTTCAATAGAGTAGAACCCATTGTCGTTACATGAATCCAGATTTCCTCTTGATAATTTTTTACTATTATATCTTTAAATATAGATTTCTTTTATAAATCAATGTACCGGGCTTAGTGATTAGCCTCCTTAATTTTTCATGTAATAACTTTGATCTTGAAAGAATTTTTTATTACCATCAATGAATTCGTCGAATCCTTGGTTACAAGACTCGAAAGTAAATTATTGAGATTGTGGAATTATATGTATTGTGAAAAATCACGAAACGAAGAAAGAGAAAACTGTTTATTTAGCTTTGCGCAGCTTATATGCGCCGGCCGACGGACCAGAGGATCGATACTGTTTAGTGCGCACGCTGACAAGACCACGTACAGTAAGGCAGTGTTGAAGAAAATAGCTTGATTTTTCTTACTCCTTTTTATATTTATATCCCAATGAAACGACTGAAGCGAAATTTTATTTTATTGTGTATATTTTATTCTATTCTACGGCTCTGTCTTTTTAATTACAGTTAGTAATTTAGTTTAGTTAGTTTTTAGACAATTAATATAAGTTGAATTACACGATAGTTCTCAAATGGATTTTCAATAATATATTCTATATCTTTATTTTAGATTTAAAATTTTTAGATAGTTTTTAAGTTCTCGGGTTTAGATTTAGAAATATCAGAATTATCTTATATATTCTTCTATGTTTCTTTTGATATTAAACTTATAATTGGTATTTTTATCATAAATTATTTGAACAAGGATCGTTATTATTTTGTAAACAATTAAACATAAAAATATACTACTACGGTTTCGGATATTTTATTTTTGTTTGATTGCATTAACATTTATAAAAAAAAATTGTTATCCTATTATGGACTTTAGGCATTATGAATTTAATTATCAATTAAATTGATTTGAATTGATGCAATTGAAATGAACGTATAACAATATTTCAAATTGTAAATTTTTCTTAGAACATATAACATTTTTGTAATTGGAAGGGTTTGTTTAAAAATTAATAAATTATAATTTAAATGCATGATTGATTTAACATTTTAATAAAATTGTCCTTATTTAAAACTATGTATGATTAATAATCATCTATAGAATATAGATTTATCGAAATATTTCCTGTCAATTTAAAATAAAATTTAATCTACTTTATTATATATTGATTTATATTTTAATACTTGTATTGTATATAAAAAATATAATCTATGTTAATATATATCTGCAGCATGGTAATTTCATCTTACGAAAATCCAGCCTTTTAGTATTCTGTTACGTTTTGCAATATTGGAATTTGATTAGTAAGCATTTTTTAAGAAATTTTAAGGTATGATTATTATTTATATATAAATGACAATATTTTTTATACAATAAATTGCAATAATTATTATATTATTTTATAAATTAAAAGGTAATAATTTATTTTATAAGTTAATTTAAATATTTCATAAATCAATCATAATATATTTTACTAACAAATTAGTATATTATGAGCATTATAAACTATTCATAATATATATTATAGGTAGTAAATATAATGAATATTAAAACATGTTCTCAAAATAATTTTAAACAATATTTGTATAAAAATAATGCAATTGTATACTTTTTTAATGTATTAAATATAGAAGTTGTCCATATTTGTTTAAAACCAAGTAAATTTAATGTTTAATTTTTATGCTTTTAAATGTAATAGTATTTTAAATTATATTTGATAGTATCCTTCTGTATTCACGTTTTTATAACATATGCTTATTTTTATATTTAATTATAAGTTATGTAAGTAGAAATTAATTATATTATAAAACTTAATATCAGCATTATTATTAGAAATAATAAATATTTTTGTTCAATTAGATATTTTCAAAGTTTTTAAATGCATGACGTTATAAACATTAGTCTTGAAGGTAATATAAAAAAATCATTTTAATGATGAGTACAGAATTAATATTATATTAGCAGATAATAAATTTGTTTTTAAATATTTAATTAAAAATATAATTCAAATTAAATACATTATAAAAGATAATTTTATTACTAATGGTTAAGACATATCCATAATTATTCTTAATAAAAAGTTAGGGTTGAATTAATAGTTTGACGAATGCTTTCTTTTTCTAATAGAATCTGTTCAGTAAGATGTTTTGCTCAATACCTCTAATGGAGGTATGTATCTTAACAATAAATATATTCACGTGATGAGTATATGAAATTCTTGAACAATTTTTATTTTAATATCACAAATTCAATGTTGTTTGCGTGTATGCGCTAGTATACATGTATGGCTTTACTCTTCGCAACTAAGCATGTGCAAAGTGTTAATAAATGTATTGATAAAAAATCCTTTTTTTAATTTGCACACATTCTAATTTCATATTAACAAAATTTATTTTTTCAATTGATGTAAGTTTATTTTAGTTACATGTACAATGTACAAAATTTTCTAGTTGAAGTATATATAAAAATTATAAAGAAATTATGTGCCGAAAATTACAGTTTGTTATATTATAAAAGCGTATTGTGATAGGACTTCAGCTCTAACTTCAATTTTATTATTTATAAAAGAATTGGCCCTTTTTTTAAATAACTGTCTTATATAAATCTTATTCATTTAGTTTTTGAAATATTTACATGAAGATTTATAATATCAACCGTCATCAATACTCTCATTTAATTTCTTGATTCTTTGAAACTGATTTTAAAAAACCAGTGTTTTCTAATTTTCTCAATCATTCTATAACATTCCCCTACTACCTGTATTAATATGTTGCGTGATTGTATACAACTAGATACAAAATAACAAACTAGATATAATTATTATAGAATAATATATGTTGTAAAGATCATCCAATATCATTACTTAAAACCTCTTGATCGCTTATATTTATTTATGAATAGTCTTATGATTTATATATTTTAATGAGAAAAATATAAACATGAAATGAATGTCCATACTTTTTTGTTATAGAAGTACTTATAGACTTTTAAGCTTCTGAATTAATTCTTATATATATATATATATATTTTTTTTATTTCAAATGGCATAAAGTAATATTTTCAATAAAAATGTTTAAAGTTTAACAATATTTCTTACATTATCCATTATTTCTTGCATAACTTACATCCATTTTATTATATTATTTATTATATATTTTATTTATAATTCAATATTATCACCATTTTTTATTTTGATTTTTCTTAAGACGTGACAGAAAAACAAAACTATGATATATTTTTACGTAGTACTGTTTGTCGATGTTCAGTTTTTAGGTCCATTATTACTGGCTAAATACTGATCTTTAAATTAACGGAGGCATGATAGATATCTTTGACATTATTTCGTGATAAAAAATACGAAGG